AGAAAGGCTAAGTTGGTTGCAGCACAGAAAACAAAGATTTGGGTGTTACAACTAGCCAGTGTTCAAACTGAGATACACGGTATCACCCTCCAGAACAGTGCTTCCCCCTCCCTCTGCCCTACACAGTCCTGGGGTTTGAGGGAGAGTCTACTCCGTGTTATGCTTATGGAAGAGCTTCTAGACTAGCCCATGGCTGTGTCAGCAGGAGGATGCACCCACAGACCCATGGCCCAGACATCTTTGCTAACACATAGACCTCTCTGCTTCTAAGTCTACCCAGACATTGATATGATCCTCTCAAACTCAGATCCTCCTATCTCCTGGGGAACCAAGGTGTTTGACCCCATTCTTGCTCTACCCTATAGTCCTCATTGCCCTCCATTCACCTCTAAACTTAGATATCTGTAACCCAGTGATTTCACTGTGTCTTTGGACTCCCACTGCTCTACCCCACTGACTTGGCACACAAACCTTTCCTCTCTTGCTTTGAACCTGTGGTCCCTCTGTTTTGCCTTCAGAAACCCCAGGCATCCAGATTTCCCTTTCCCCCATCTTAGACTTCCCTGCCTTCACAGGTCTGTGGGCACCTTCTGGGCCATTGTGCAGTAGGACTTGTGAACTGGGGCAAAGGGGAGGGCTGCAAAAGGGAATGGAGCAGAACACAGTACTACCTTGTGAATAGGGGAATGTGAAGAGAGGTTTTCGTAACTACAGGAAGGGTGTGGGGCTCTGGGGCTCTGTGCTGGCTCTGTGTTTTTTTCTGTCCCCTCCAAGTGGCTAACATGGTCCCTTCTCTGTGCAGGTCTTGTCACCCCTCATGTCATGCAAAGATACTGCTATGTAGCCTTCTGGAAAAAAGCAGCAAATTCAGCAAGCTGAGATATGGGACGAGAAGAGTGATCTATGTCTGGGAAATACAATCTCACTGTCCCACCCACAGTCCCCACAGCCCCTGTACTAGGAAGTGGATGGGCCTAGCAAATGGTAAAGTCCCTGCAGTGGATGTTCCTGTGGTCCTCATGGCATGGCAGATGTGGTGGGGAAGGTCAACGTGATCTAAAAATCCTGAGATGGTTCCCGGTTAGTGCTGGAAACCCACGTGATCTCCCCTTGGATGCTGTGATGCCTCCCTTTCTGAAAGTTTGGGTAAGTGGTTTGGAAAGACAGTTGTATCTTCTTGCTGGCTTGACTGAAAGAAGAAAAGAAAGATGGTGGGTAGCACTGCTAGACAGCAGGGTTTGAGATCTGCATGGCATGTCCTATGGGCCCTTCACCTAGAACACCAGGTTCATGTGGGAGTGGTGCCCCTACAACTGAGCTGGGCTACCTAGAGCTGTGAAGTAGCAGCAGCATCTTGTCTCTGTCCGTGGCACAGCAGGGTGTGTAACCAAATATCTGCCTGGCCACAGGCAGAAACAGACCTCTGATATTTTTCCAGCATAGTGTCTTCCTGAGTGAGCGAGTTGTGTTGGTGGGAGTTTGTATAAGGACACTTAAGATCACCATGATGTCAGCATCTAAAGATCCCACCACAAATGCGTTACTTTGCCATCAAAACCACACCCTTCCTTCCACCTATTGCTCTATCTGTCCTTCTCTTTATCCACCAATCCAGCCAGCCAGCCAGGCAGAAGGCATTAGGGATAACTGTACTTCTGCTTTCTTCCCATTTCTGTCAGTGAACTTTTGTGCCCCATCCACATCCAATTTTATACAGTCTGAAGACTCCTCTTCCTGCCCCAACCACCTACTTGCTCAGCCTGTCCCAGAGAACGTCATGTCCTCATTCTCACACTCAGACATTCTATCCTGTTCCCAGAAAGGCTGCACATACAAGCAAGTTGGAACATGATTTTATTGGTGGCAAGAAAGTAGAGCAGGCATTAGCACAGCTGGGCAGCAGTAGAAGAAAGGGAATATTATGAAAGTGTACATTCCTGGGACCTGCATTTTGAGAGCATCCCTGACTTCATTTCAGCTGCCCCTGGAAGCCTCTGGGCATCAGCAGATGCTTGATGCATTGTGGAAATGGTGTACCGAGCATTTTAGTCAGAGGAGGGAGAGTCAGGTAGGTCTTGAGGCACAAACTTCCTCAGCTCTTCACGTATCCAGGGTTCAAAATAGGAGACTCTGGTAAATACTTTAGGGAAGGTGTGATTTCTGTGTCCATAAGAAACAATGCCGTGAGCCTTCCCATTGCAAACTAATGGGCCACCAGAATCACCCTGTGAGGTAAAAAGAGTGGGAGGGGTCAGACATGTCAGAGTACATATTCTCCTGCCCTAAGGAAGAAACTGTCCCTCTTGCCTCCCTCTGTGTGAAGAATCTCCTCTTTCAACCATTTACTTCCAGGTCTAGCTCCGCAGGACTTGTAGCTGCTTTACTACTCCTCTAAGCCAATTCATTAAACAATTCAGGCCTGGAGTCCATCTGAGATTCAAAAACTGCCTTTACAACCCTTAAAAAAAGAATGTAGTCCTACTTAGATGTGTGGGAACATCTGAGACATCCCAGTGTGCCAGGAGGACATGACAAAGGATTTACATGACATCTTCAGCCTGCTGGAGCAGTGGCTAGGCTGGGCAGAATATACACAGGTATGTAAAAAGGCACATAATGCTGACAGTTGGACAACTTCACCCTGGTTCATGGAGCATGTCAGCTTCTGACTTCCTGCGAAGAGCCTCTGCACATCATCCTGAAGAATCCAGTTCATTCTAATCCCCTTAATTCCTCACCTAACTGTTTTAATCCCAACCTCAGCCCAAACTCAGAGCCCAAAATAACACTTACATGGAAAGCTGGGGTTTTGCCATTCTCATTGGCAGCACAGATCATGGGCACAGACCAATAGTGTTTGAAAGGCATCTCACACATTTCCTCATGTTGCACCTTCAGGTTCATCTTCATCAATACACTGCTTGTTCTCCCTGTTGTTGATGCCTCACCCCAGCCAGTCACTGCATATAGTTCCAGGTAGCATATCCTCATTGTGATAGAGCAAGGCGATAAAACTCACTTTCTTACTCAGCTTGGTGTCGAGCTACAGCTGCCGACCAGAGAGAACACAGGGAGTGGGAACAAGTCCATGGGTTTGGGGGCAATCTCTTACATGACAAAGACGTGTGAGGGCATACCTTCAGCAGCACGATGTAATTTTCAACAGTATCTCCTGAACAGTTGGGGTGGACGACCCGGTGTCTAACGTGGACCTTCTGCTGGATCACCTCTTTCCTGTTTACATTGTGGGACCACAGTGATACTCAGTGATACTCACCAGGAAACACCAACACATTCCAGCTACACCAACTAGAGTGACACAGCCCCCATGGCAGGTGGTTTGAGGGAGGTGGTGGTGGGTTATGGTTCCCCAGATATGAATTCTCAGCAGGTTGCCCCCTGTAACCTTGGTTCCTTCTACATTCAACTGAGAGTCTCTTACCCCATGATGACATAGGTCTGAGGTGTCCCATTCTGAATACAAAAGGGAAGAAGGGAATGGGAGACACTGTCTCCCTTCTCCAACAGTAGCTGTGGCCCATGGTTCCTACCAGGGAGACCACTGCCAAGGAGTCCTGTCCCCAGGGACACACAGCCCCAAGCAGACAATTCTTGCAACTCACAGGGGATGACTCGTCTCACAGAGAGCCCTGCTGTGCCTGAACAGACAAAGTTCTCTTCCACCCTGTATTGGGTTTGCGTGGCAAGGTTTCGGTAGCTGGGGGGGGACATGGAGTGTCTTCTGTGAGAAGCTGCCAGAAGCTTCCCTCATGTCTGACACAGACAATGCCAGCTGGCTCCAAGACAAACCCACCGCTGGCCAAGGCCGAGCCAATCAGTAACTATGGTAACACCTCTGTGATAACAGAATTAAGGAAAAAAAGGGGAAGAGAGGAAAAAAAGGCTGCACACTTTGCAGCTAGAAAGAGAGGAGTGAGAAGATGTAAGAGAAACAACTCCACAGACACCAAGGTCAGTGAAGAAGGAGCTGGAACAGTTGGTGAAGAACTGTCAGTCATGGGAAGGACTCACATTGGAGAAGTTCATTGAGGACTGTCTCCCATGAGACTGACCCCATGCTGGTGCAGGGGAAGGAGTCCTCCCCCTTGAGGATAAAGAAGCAGCAGAAACAATGTGTGATGAACTGACCTCAACCCCCGTCCCCTGTGCCGCTGGGGGGAGGAGGTAGAAAATTGGGAAAGAAATTAAGCCTGGGAAGAAGGGAGGGGTGGGGAAGGGGTTTTAAGATTTGGTTTTTACTTCTCATTATCCTCTGATTTTGATTGGTAATAAATTAAATTTGCTTTTTCCCCCAAGTCGAGTCTGTTTTGCCTGTGCCAGTAATTGCTAAGTGATCACTCTCCATCCTTATCTCCACCCATGAGCCTTTCATTATATTTTTCTCCCCCTGCCCAGTTGAGGAGGGGGAGTGATAGAGTGGGCTTTGGTGGGCATCTGGCCTCTAGCCATATATAAGAAAGACAGGGCCTTATGTTTTACAAGCCACAGATTGAGTTGCTGAGAGCGCTGCATCTTGGTGAATCAAGAATCCTCCACATGCAAATTAAGCTGACACATTTGTGTTGGATTTGTGTGTTGTGGGAGGGCTCGTTTTTTTGGTAGTGGGGGAAGGGGCCACCTTGAATCAAGAATCCTCCACATGCAAATTAAGCTGACACATTTGTGTTGGATTTGTGTGTTGTGGGAGGGCTCGTTTTTGTGGTAGTGGGGGAAGGGGCCACCTTGTCAGAGAGAAAAGCTCCCCTGGCTCCAAGGAAGAGACCCCCCAGCCCAGGCTGGGCCAATGAGACCTAGAGAAATGCCTCTGTGAATCCTTATTTGTGAGGGGAAGGACTGTCCTGAAAAGAAGAAGATGTGGTACCTGGAGGAGAGTCCATTGACCTGAAAAAAAGACAACCATCAGCCTAAACAAAGGACAGATAGACAGAGACAGAGCTTAATTGGCAGAGAAAAAGACAGAGACTCACACCTAGTTCACCTGGTGGAGTAGGAGAAGGCAAAGGACGTTCTGCAGCCCAGGGAGATTCAACGGCAGAGCAGAGACCCACGTATAGGCCATGAAGGACCCCACACTGGAGCAGAGAAGTTGATCCTGAGGGCAGGTGTGACTGGAATTGGGACCCTGAGAGTCGCTCGCTGCCAAAGTCGGGGTGGAACCCCAGAGTGAGGGGTTAATCTGCAGCCTGTGGATGTCCCCATGCTGTAGCCAGGAGCTGAGCCCAAAGAGGTCCATGACTCCATGGGAAGCTTCCTTTGGAACGTCTTGTTCCTGGACAGGAAGTGCAGCAGAGGTCAACTGACTGCAACCCCATCCCTGCCCCTGTGCCACCTCGGGGGGGGAAGTAGAGAAATCGGGATCAAAGTGATTTGAGCCCAGGAAGAAGAGAGGAGTGGAGGAGGTGTCTTAAAGATGTGGTTGTTATGTCTACTCAGATGGTTTGCAACTTATTAAATTGATTTTTCTTCCCCAAGTTTGAGTATGTTTTGCCCGTGACCATAACTGGTGAGTGAGCCATCCCTGTCATTCAGTACCAGCCCCGTGCCCCCTTTGTTGTGTCTCCCCTCCCATCTCACAGGATGAGGGGAGTGAGTGCAGGACCACATGATCCCACTGTGGATCAAACCACCACAACATTTTAAATAAATAAATGAGTGACATAAGGCCAAGAATGCACCTTAGCTTCCCATCCACCAATGATCCTTCCTAGAAGAGAAATGAGAAGTGTTAATGACATATTTGTGTGTTCAGAGAAGGACAACAAATCTAGAACACAAGTCTTATGAGGAGTGGTTGAGGGAACTGCAGTTGTTTAGTCTGGAGAAGAGGAGGCTGAGGGAGACCTTATCACTCCCTACAACTACCTGAAAGGAGTTTGTAGCAAGGTGGATATCTGTCTCTTCTTCCAAGTAACAAGCAATAGGACAAGAGGAAACAGCCTCAAGTTGTGTCAGGGGGGGTTTAGATTGGGTATTAGGAAAAATTTATTCACCAGTGTCCTGGGTTTGCTAAGATAGAGTTAATTTTCTTATTAGTAGTTAAAACAGTTGTGATTTAGTTTCAGTGTTGGATTTATTATGAGAAGAATGTTGATAAGGTATGTTAATAACTATGTTATTAGTTGCTGCTGGAGCTCAAGGCGATTGTGTCTAGGTAGTTTCCAAGTGCAAAGGACTGGGAGGGGAGAAGCATAATAATTAGCAAAACCCAGAATTGACATTTGGATATGCCAATGAGATATTCCATATCGTATCATGTCATGTTCAGTATATTAACCAGGGTTGACTGGAAGATGGGGGTATTCTCTAGGGGATTGCCTGGGCTTGCTCTTTTGGGGATTCAGTTTCAGGACTGTCTCTGCTCCAGGATCACTGGCTGGGGGTGGGCTGGGCATCGGTTGGTGGGTGGTGAGCAATTGCACTGTGCATGACTCAATTGTATATTCTTTTATCTCTGCTGTTATAATTTTATTTCAATTAGTAAATAGTTCTTATCTCAACCACTGAGTCTTCTTGCTCTTTTCCTTCCAATTCTCTCCCCTACCCCCTGATGGGAGGGGAGGGGAAGAGTGAGAGAGCAGGCTGTGTTTGATTGCAAGCAGAAAGGGTGAAACCACCACAAACAAAAGGGTTGTCAAGCACTGAACAGGCTGCCCAGAAAAGTGGTTGAGTCACCATCTGTGGAGGTATTTAAAAGATGGGTAGATGGGGTGCTTGGGGATCTGATTTAGTGGTGGACTTGGCAGTGTCAGGTTTACAGTTGGACGCAGTGATTTTGATGTTCTTTTAATGGTCTTTTATACTAATGGTCTTTTCTAACCAAAATGATTCTATATGCGCCTCTATTTCTTATCAAGTTCAGAGATGGATGAGAGAGGGTCGTCCTCTGATGTCATAAACCAATGATGCCAATAACTCTCCTTCCTTGGGCTGTCCAGAGCATTGCTTATGCACAATGGAGAGAAAAACAAAAAACACCAGACCAGGGAGACCCAGTGG